ATGCAGTATTAAAAATAAAAATGGTTCAAAATGTTCCAACAACGTAGAAATACTATCTGGATTTGCCTTTCCAGAAATTTGTTCGAAAAAATTGGAGGAATTGAATTTGTCCTTAAATGTGATTTTAATATAGAAAAGCTGCCAATCAAGCAGCCGTCCTTTCACAAGCAGGCTCTGTTATGTTCTAAACCCACAGCCATACTTTTAAGCCTCACCTAACGCCAACTTGGAATGACTGATATGTTCTGTGTATTGGAAAATCTCTCTGAAGCACTGGATGGATAAAGGTATTTGGTCAACATGTCACTTTATGGATAATCAGGGCAACTGGCTATCATATGAAAACTTCTGCTCTGTTCATAATATTATTTGTAAAAAAAAAAAAAAGCGGAATAAAAATAAATGTAAGGCAATCCCTCAGCCAGTTAGCGAGAATGCTCCTCTTCTCAAGCTACCAATTCTCTACCTCACTGAACAAGAACTTATGAAAGATTTGCCAAACAAAATCCTGTGTAATCATCTGAATAATTATCTATACACCGTATTTGTTTAAATAGAAACTCAATCATTCAGAAGTAGAGGTTAAAAATGGAGGATGCATTAGATAAACAGACATTTTTTGAAGACCTCTGATGATTTGTAGAAGGGATGTTAGTTTGCACACATGAAAAATGACTAAAGAAAAAAGACAGCTGGCTGTGATTTTTTTTTTACCTTTCCAATATGGCCGACCTGCAGTCGCGTAGCTGTTGACGCACAGTGATGCGTCTATGGTAAAGGGGTGGGGCTTCGGCAAACTTTCGAGCGGGATCCTCTCAGGAAGAGGCTCAAGCTGGAGTTCAGTCAAAGCAGGCGCTAGCGTTAGCGCTGTTGTAAGCTAAGAAGAGCAGCTAAGCTAACGAATCTCTGGTGTGGAGGCTCGACCAACTCTTTCAGCCTATTGTTTAGTACGAAGCCTCGCCTTAACGCGCATGCGTCAGGTAAATATGGTTTCACTCCGTTCAAACTAGAAGTACACTAGTATTTTAGCATATATTTAGTATATGTGTATATAAGTGTCTACGGTCCAAACGGGCACGTTTGTGTACTTTTCTCCACCTGTGATGCAGCTCCATCATGATTGGCCCAGAACAGGAGGCCCTGATTGGCCGAGTGTTTGAGACCTTTGTGACAGAGCATCACCATGGAGACCTCCTCCGTACAAAGGAAGACACTCATCACTCTGTTGTGGTTAATGCCATGACTCTGTTTGAAGCCAACATGGAGGTAACGCTGGTGGTCATCAGTGGATTTATGTTCATTTGCCCTCCTCTCACCCATCTGTCCTTTTGTTTCTCAGGTTGGAGACTATTTCAACGCCTATCCCAGCGATGTTTTGAATATATTTGATAAAGTGTTACAGAGGAAAGCCATGGAGCTAACAGATGTTGAGCATGGAGGCCTACAGAGACCCAAAGAGCAGACCATGAAGACTTTTCACACTCGCATCACAGGTCAGACATCCATCTACCTCCATCCTTGGTGTAGGCTCTCTGTTGGGTGTCTCCCAGCAGGTTCCGTCTCGTCTTTTAACTTGAATAAATCCAGCTTGTTATGAAGCCTTCGGGCAGGTTGAACTGATAGATTGTTTGACAGAATAACAGCAGCAGCCGTACCGACAGAGAGACAACTGACAGCAGCTCTGTGTGCGGTTCTGATGCGGTTAGCTAGCTGACTGGAGATTCAAACTGAAGGAACATCAGTGTGTTCATATCTGCGTTCTTATTCATGTTACCTCGGCTGATGCTGATGATGAAAAAGAAGCTAAATATTGACCCCTAATTTAGGGGGTGAGGGTGGTCTCCGCGCCTTCACAGACTTCCTTTTAGCTTGAACATAACTGTATTTTATGCCGATTGAAGCTACGCTCCTTAAGGGTTTTCAGGATTCGCTCCACCAGACAGCCCACTGTCCATCACAGTCCTAGGTGGGCTGTCTGGTGACCTGAGCTTCAGATCTAAAGGCCAGAAGCTCCCAGATCTCTGCATCGCTCCAGTTTACCGTCTCAGCTGATTCTGTTTACAAGAGTAAAACTGACTGCCCGCGTTTACTTTCATTTCCATGATTCATGTTCATCCTGCAGATTTCATACTAAAGCTTGTTGAGTATGTGTTCAGTTTAATAACTGAGTAGGACTCTGAACTGAAATAGAATTGAATAGTGAGGTATGTATGACGGCACACCCCTAATAATCAACATTACAATAATAGACATTACTAATCCATAAGAAGTGAATATTGCCTTGCTCCGCTGGCTAAGGGTGCTAATCAACACAGCGTCTGATACTGTGTAATCACCATGTCACCGTCAGCTGCAGCTACATTTCCGTTGGTTATTGACTTGATTGTGTCCAGGTTTACCCGTTTGTCCAGAGCTGACCAGACACACCATCCCTAGGTCCAGAGACGTGGGACACTTTCTGTCTGTGACCGGGACCGTCATACGCACCAGCGTTGCCAAGGTAACCACAAACGAAGAGCATGCATCCCAGAAGTTGTCTGAATAGAAAGGTATGAGCTGGCATTGCTGATAAGTTTGTCTTGAAAGCAACCTGTGTTAAAAGTGTTGCTGAGCTTTTATTTTAAGACTAAGCTGCTGGAGGACCGAAACAGAAACCAGGCCTTGGTACCAGTAGGTCCATCTACGACAATAATCAGGGTAACACTGGGAGCCTTTGTCCCAGTTTACATGTCCGTTACTAAAAATCTCTATTACTGAATGTTAGCCTATAGCAACACAAATACAGCGTTTGTACGGGTGCTTGAAATCCTTGAAAAGGCTTGAATTTCAGTAAGGTGCTTTCCTTAAATGCTTGATAATCTAACTGCGCAGTTTTGCATTTAAGATCAACCAAGATAGTTTGATGGAAAAACTCAATTAGATATTTTTGTTAATTTGAAAAACTAGAGAGTGATCTTTTAGCCCGCCATCCAGCCGATTTGAGTTGTTTCTCCGATTAAACACACCTGGTTTGAATCTGCTGGTGATTAACAGGCTGCTGTAGAGCCTGATGAGCTGCTGAACAGGTGACTCATCCAGCAATCAGGTGTGTTGGAGCAGGTAAACAACTAAAACCTGCTGGATAGCGACCCTCAAGGACCTGCTACAAAGCAGACCTACTTAAAGCCGTTTCCTGCTCCGCCGCCCTGCTGGATGAAAGCGGATTTACAACTGTCGTAAACAACCGTGCAGCAGCCTGCTGTAGCTAGCAGCGAGCTAACACTAACATGAACTAGGGCTGGGTAATAAAAAGAAAATTTATCGGTATCAAAATTTCTGACGCTAACCGATGAGGTTGTGAGTCTTACAACAACTCTAGATTCAAGTTTATTCCAATTCTCTGGGTGATGATTCAATTCTCTTAGTGACAGAGTGTCAACTACAGTGTGTAACTGTTGTGTGGTCTAAGGAAGCGAGAAAAAAGAGAATACAACATGTGAACCAACTTAAATAAACAGCTTTTCTAACACCCAGTAGCAAGTATTCACATCAACCACTAACATTTATCACTGAACACGAAGGCTAAAAGGCACCTGTCAGTCTTAACCCCCTTATAGGGCCAACGTGTATATTTAGTAGGGATGAGCCGGATACTCGTTTCAGAAGAGTATCCGGTACGGATAACGCATTTTTGACGAATGCGAGCATGAAACGAGTAAAACGAGTCAATATCTGTAATCGTGCTGAAGGAAAATCCTCATTGGGTAATGGACTGTCTTCACGCTCTGTGATTGGCCAGTCACATAGAGCGCCCGCCCCTCCCTACACATAAAACTCTCTAGCCGGCCGGGAGCGCAGTCCGTCCTGTTCATCCACGCACACACACACAGGCAGTAACGGATCTCGCTGTGATTGCTTCACTGTTTCTCACGTTTCTTCAGTTTTCCCTAGGTTTTCTTCAGCTCGCCTCTTTTTCGGATGAATATTTAAAATTACTTTTTTTGTAACTGACATGGTGCATTTGACAAGACAGAGCTGACGTGCTGTTGTCACTACCTCCGCTCCGGTCGGGTTTTTTATTGTTTTGAACTCTCCCTCTCTATCTCTCTCTCTCACTCACACACACACACACACACACACACACACACACACACACACACACACACACACACACACACACACACACATTAATCAACATTGTTTTGTTTAACTTTGTGTGGGAAAATGCCAAGAACGTTAAGAAAAAAATCAGTTTAATCAAATTAAAATCAATCAATCAATCAACTTTATTGTCACTTCAGCCATATACGGTTTGTATACAGTGAGGCGAAACAGCGTTCCTCCAGGACCAAGGTGCTACATGCATTATAAATTTACAACATGAAAAAATATAAGAAAAATAAACTATCTAATTAAGGACAGAACATGAGTGTGTTCGCGTGTTTGTGTGCGTGCGTGTGTGTGTGTGAGTGTGTGTGCATGCATGCGTTTATCAGTCCAGTCCCTTTTCGTTGAGGAGACGAATGGCCTGTGGGAAGAAGCTGTTGCACAGTCTGGATGTGAGTGCTCGAATGCTTCGGTACCTTCTTCCAGATGGCAGGAGTGTGAAGAGTGTGTGAGAGGGGTGTGACCAGTCAGCCACAATGCTGGTGGCTTTGCGGATGCAGCGTGTGGTGTAGATGTCCTTGATTGAGGGGAGAGAGACTCCTATGATCTTCTCTGCTGTTTTCACTATCCGCTGTAGGGTTTTGCGGTCAGAGATTGCACAGTTCCCAAACCAGGCAGTGATACAGCAGCTCAGGATGCTCTCAATAGTTCCTCTGTAGAAGGTGGTTAGCATCGTTGGTGGAAGCTGGGCCTTTCTCAGTCTTCTCAGAAAGAAGAGATGCTGTTGGGATTTCTTGTACAGGAAGCTGGTGTTGAGGGACCAGGTGAGGTCTTTGTCCAGGTGAACTCCCAGGAATTTGATGTTGTTGACGATCTCCACAGAGGAGCCGTTGATGCTCAGTGGTGAGTGGTCACTCCGTATCCTCCTGAAGTCAACAACCATCTCTTTTGTCTTGTCAACATTCAGAGACAGGTTGTTGACCTTACACCAGTTTGTTAACCTCTGCACTTCATCTCTGTATGCTGACTCGTCGTTCTTGCTGATGAGACCCACCAAGGTTGTGTCATCAGCGAACTTAATGATGTAATTTGAACTGTGTGTTGCTACACAGTCATGAGTCAGCAGTGTGAACAGCAGAGGACTGAGCACACAGCCTTGTGGGGCCCCCGTGCTTAGTGTGGTGGTGCTGGAGGTGCAGTTCCCAATCCGTACTGACTGAGGCCTTCCAGTCAGAAAGTCCAGGATCCAGTTGCAGAGGGAGGTGTTCAGGCCCAACATGCTCAGTTTTCCGATCAGTTGCTGGGGGATGATCATGTTGAATGCTGAGCTGAAATCTATGTACAGCATTCGAACATGTGTGTCCTTCTTGTCCAGGTGTGTGAGGGCAAGATGGAGTGCAGTGGAAATGGCGTCATCTGTTGAGCGGTTATGGCGGTATGCAAATTGCAGTGGGTCCAGTGAGGGGGGCAACAGGGTCTTGATGTGTGTCATGACTAGCCGCTCGAAGCACTTCATGATGGTGGGTGTAAGTGCAACAGGACGGTAGTCGTTGAGACAGGACACAGAAGATTTCTTGGGCACTGGGACGATGGTGGCGGCCTTAAAGCACGTGGGAACAACGGCACTGCTCAGAGAGATGTTGAAGATGTCGGTGAGAACATCCGCCAGCTGTTCACCACATTCCTTTAGCACTCTGCCCGGGATGTTGTCTGGACCAGCAGCTTTACGTGGATTGACTCTGCGTAGAGTTTTCCTCACCTCTGCTGTAGTGAGACACAACACCTGATCGTCCGGAGGAGGGATTGACTTCCTTGCTGCCACGTCGTTCTGCCTGTCGAACCGAGCGTAGAAGTTGTTCAGCGCATCAGGGAGGGAGCCGTCACCATCACAGGCAGGTGTTGTCGTCCTGTAGTTGGTGATGGCTTGTAGGCCCTGCCACATTCGCCGTGTGTCGCCGCTGTCCATGAAGTGCTTGTGGATCCTCTGGGCGTGTGCGCGCTTTGCCTCTCTAATGGCCCGAGATAGTTCATTTCTAGCTCTGCTAAGCGCCACCTTATCTCCCGCTTTGAAGGCAGAGTCTCTGGTTCTCAAAAGTGTGCGCACTTCAGCAGTAATCCACGGTTTCTGGTTGGGTCGTGAGATGATGGTCTTGGAGACAGTGACGTCATCGATGCATTTGCTGATGTAGCTCGACACCGATGACGTGTACTCCTCCAAGTCAGTAGAGTCGCCGTAAGTTGCAGCCTCCCTAAACATGTTCCAGTCAGTGCACTCAAAACAGTCTTGAAGAGCAGAGGTGGCTCCTGCCGGCCAGGTTTTCGCCTGCCTCAGAACCGGTTTTGCTCGCTTGACGAGTGGTCTGTATGCTGGAATTAGCATGACAGAGATGTGGTCTGAGTAGCCAAGGTGGGGGCGGGGCTCTGCCCGATATGCGCCGGGGATGTTTGTGTAAACCAAATCCAGCGTGTTTACCCCTCTCGTTGCAAAGTCCACATACTGATGGAATCTAGGAAGCACTGATTTGAGATTTGCATGGTTGAAATCTCCAGCAACAATGAACAGTCCATCTGGGTGTGTGTTTTGCAGTTCGCTGATGTTTGTGTACAGTTCTCCTAACGCTTCCTTAGTATTAGCGCCAGGTGGAATGTACACTCCGATAATGAAAACAGTGGTGAATTCCCGTGGTAAATAAAATGGTCTGCATCTGACAGTCACAAACTCCACCAGCGGTGAGCAATAGCGAGAAGCTAGCAGAGCGTTCTTGCACCATTTCTCGTTGACGTAAACACACAGGCCGCCACCGCGAGTCTTGCCGCACAGAGCTACGTTTCTGTCGACTCGAAACGAGGCCATCCCGTCCAGCTGAATAGCGGCGTCCGGTACTCTGTCGCTGAGCCATGTCTCCGTGAAAATATAGACACAGCAGTCTCTGGCCTCACGCTGCGTAGCCTGCTGGAGTCGGATGTAGTCCAGTTTATTATCCAGGGAGCAGACGTTGGACAAGATGATGGACGGGAGAGCCGGCCGGCTAGGGTTTGTTTTTAGCCTGTGACAGATTCCCGCCCGCTTGCCGCGCTTACGCTTCCTCGCGCATCGCTTCCGATGTCCCCTCCTCCGGACGCCAGCATCAGGCAGCGATGAGGCATCGAGGCCTGGTGCGCGGAGGCCTGGAGGCCTGGTGCCCGGAGGCCTGGTGCCCGGAGGCCTGGTGCCCGGAGCAAGCCGAGTTCTCGTAGCGTTTCCCGCAGCTCCTCTTGGATATCGTTGTCCGGGTTTTGAAGGTAGCAAAGTGTCTGGCTGCTGTATGTACAGGCACCAGTTCCGACGATATCCATAGTAAAAAATAAGAAAAATAAGATAAGATAAAAAACCATGATACACAAAAACGTAGGCACCATTTGGCTCCGGAGTGG